GTATTTTTTACCTTCATATACTCATTCTCACATTTATTCTATTTTCAAAAATTTTTTATGAACTGTAATTATTAATTGAGGCATGATTGTGCGTAAATGCGATACATGTGCTATTGTTATCGTTTATACTACTGAAATGCTACTTCACGCTTAACTCACCTATCATTCGACTATGTAGGGTTATCATTTATCATTCATTGCTTAGTGGTACATCACTCCTGAGCTGCTTGTCTCCATTGTACTTCGTTTTCTGGCGTCATTTTGAACCGGTTCCACGACTGCCCGTATGATCTTCATGTCACAGTCGGACGGGTTAATTCGTGTGATGTCTCCAGTCTGTTTCCATTTCCTCGGAAATATTTGTTTGGTGATAGGTTGTGTGAGTAGTTCGCTATGCAGATTTACTTGTTACTTATATCCTTTTTCAATCGGCTATCTGATCTTTAATGTAGGATGAAGGTAACTTAACTACCGATGAGAGATTTCAGTAGACTTTTGGAAGTAATTTCGGGGATGCATTAAACCACTGAGCCATTTAGAAGCATTGAGTTGATATGAGTGTTAATCAGTCAGATCTGGCTGCTTGCACTAAATTCTGTGGGGCTAACCTGAATCCATGAATTCCTTTTTTATTTTATTCCTTTGTGTTTTTCAGTGAGACACATATGGCTTCAAGTTTGAGCTTTATTGAAGTTTCAGTAGCAGTGCTGTTTATTTTTTCCTGCAAAGTTGGCTTGGTAGCTTCCCGCCCAATCTTCCCTCTTCTCCGGGCTTACTAAACCAGATAAGCGAGATTAGGGTGTGTGTGTGTCAGCCTGGGGGATCGAGCCACGGACCATGCACGTGGTTAGCGATTGACGATTGACTGAAATCATTACTCCGATTAGAGTTGGCATGTATCAGGAGGCTGTCAACCACGTATATTGTATGAAGATCGATGATACTTCTTCTCATTTAGTTGTCCGCTATAAGAGAGAGAGAGGGAAAATCGAACCTGTAATCCCTCATCTGAATGTTGAATGCTTAAGCCACCCATTATCTGATCTTCAGTTATTATATGACTTACAATGTTCATATTTTTACATTGTAGCCACTAAGCTGATTGACATTAGTAGTTGCACCAGTCGGGACAGTACATTTTCATAGCATGTTGTACAAATCTGGGTATGGTTCATTGATATAACTTAACAGATCTCGATCTCGAATCCATCTCCACCTAATTTGCCTTTGTCTCATACAATAACAACAACAGCAACAACGACATAATGCATCACACTATCTGGATATTTGTATTTCATGATAAGCAAATATAAAGCTAAATTTCTGACTATGAATTTATGCTTCTTATCTTTATAACAACAGGATAGATATGTATTAGTAACCCTTGATAAAATTGATTTCCTGTCTGGCATATCCAATACTGTATATTTTTTTTTTAAATCATCACTATACTGTCGCTTGTATGTGTTCCTTTTCCGGAATAGTCTGTATTTATTTTCAGTTACCAGAACTTAATCAGACATACAGAATATTTTGCGCTTAAGCAAGTGAGTGTTAGATCTCTTTACCAAACTGGAGTTATTGTTTAGTACCCAGTCACGTCTGTAGAGGTAGGTGGAGTAGGATTCGGGTGGTACCTTCATGGGTCATTGTCAAAAAGATATTAATTATTATTCCCTTGGGTTCCAAGTGAAACATGGGGCTTCTGCAGCACATCTCCATTTTGTCCAGTTCTCTGCAGTCCTCTTTACCTAGCTCCACAATTCCCCATAGTCTCTCATCTACTGTTCATGTGATCTCCTGCATGTTACCCTCAGGTTCACGCCCATCTCATCGTTACCCTTTCTGGTCCTACTTGAGCGATGGCCTGGCTCATGAAGTCATCCAACGGTTTTGTTAGTGTGTGTCCAATCCATCTCCATTTTCTTTGGCATATTTGTTGAGCCATAGGTCCTTGATTGGTTTGTTGCCAGAGTTTCTTGCTGATGATACCTTCTGGCATGCCATCCGATCTTGATTACTGAGCAAGTGAAGGCACTGACAAAATGCAGAGTCTTCTGAACACCTTGAGTTGCAATCTGTGAATGTTTGGCATGCGATTCGCTCCCGCCAAATGTATAGTGATGTTACAGGACTGGACTGGACTACATTGACTCCTAGCTTAGAGATGGGTAGTGAAGTGTTCAGTGGAGCGTGTTGACCACTTCACTTATTCGGGAAGCTGCATCAGCCCCAACGGCTTGATCGCCGATCTCAGCACGGATACAGAAGGCTAGTTTCACATATGCCAGTTTGCGCTGTCTCTGGCGTATACGTGATATCCCACTGGTTGTCAATCAAATTACGTGTGTACTGCTCAGCAGTCCACTCGGTTCTTCTTTATGGCTGTGAGTGAGACATGGCCATTGAGAGCGGAAGACATGAAAAGACTATCTGTCTTTGATCATAGGTGTCTGCGTTCTATCTCCGGCGTGAAGTGGTATAATAAGGTGAGCAATATTGAGGTTAGGCTTAGGTCGAGTGCTAGGTAAGGCGGGGAAATCAATCGACGAGACTGTGAAGTCACATCGACTGAGATGGTTAGGACATGTGTTACGTATGCCTAGTCATCGCCTTCCTCGACAACAGGCAATGTTAGCTGACAAAGGACCGGTAAGGTTGGAAAAGAGCCATTGGTGATCAAACCAAAACATGTCTTCTTTAGTCAATGAAATCCATAACAGTTTGTTTAAGCCACTTAGGGAGGTGTAGACTGCCTGGCTATTTGGTATCCTCGAGATGGTAAAAACCAGTGGCTGAAGACAATTGATGATATGGCTCAAAATCGTTGTCAATGGCTGGCGCAGATGCATCCACTCTTTGTGACTTATAATACGCAATGAAACTATATTGTTCTTCGATATTATTATTCTTTTTGCCTTATATCTCTGTTTACTGTCTCTATTTTGCATTTATTTTTACTTTCTTCTCTTGGTTTGTGTGCTACATGGAGTGTGGCGACTTGAACTGCTGCACATCGGTGCGAAGTTCTATGTTGAAGCCAGACAGACTGACAGACAGCAAGCGAAGCCAGCTATAGCTGAAATTCTTCAGTGGCCTGTTGAAAATGCATATAGAAGAATTGACTCAACATTGATGTTGAAAATCCAAATCTTATTCCGTATACTGAGTGCAGAAGGTTTCCAAACTGATTTCAGAGTAATGAATGTTTGCTTTGTCTTCTCAGTTTTGGTTTTAACATCGCTTATTCTTTCTGACTGCCTGTAGTTGAAACTATGCTGTCAAACTTAGTGAAGGAGGCGACCTCTTTCACATTTTTCCTGCTAATAGTGATTGGTATTTGCTGTTGTTGTTGTTGTTCATTAAGTATCTTCATCACCCATGTCTTCCCCATTTTCTCTTGACATCCTGTCTTCGCTGCTTCTCCTACCAATTTGTTGGTCTTCGTCTGTGGACTTCCAAGTTGGTGTCACAGACATAAATTATTCGTGAATTCCACGTTTTCTAATGTTTTCTCGCGTACGCCAGTCTTCTCACTCTACCCATTGTGTTCCCTATTGATCCAGTCCACAATATTCAAGAATATCATCGGTGATAGTAGGCAGCCAACTTTCTGACCCGTATAGAGGAAATAACTTAACACTAGCGTTGAAAATCCAAACTTCGTTCTGTGCGTTGAGTGCAGACGATTTCCAGACTGATGAAGGTCTGTATTGCTTTCCCGATCCTCATTTTGATGTCCTCATCTGAGACGTATGTATGTAGTACTTAGTGTTGTATGTTTTTAAGTGCTGAGGTATGGCTCATTGGTCTAGGTGTGTCCCTGTAACAATCATTGGTTCAGGGGTTCGAGTCTCTTTCCGTCTAGCAAGGTTTGCACAGCCAGATAGCATCCCAGCCTTGATACTGCATGGAAATGTGTTATTTGTTTACATGTGTAAGTGTCTCCAGTTGCACGGTATAGTGTGATTCAGTGTTCAGTCGCTTTAACTATAATTCCACATTGGTTTGTTTATTAGATGTATCACACAGTGAAGAAACAGTATTTTTGTTTACTGGATGACGTTTCGAACAAAATTTATTGTTCATAATCATTCCATCAATTATAATCACACGACTTCGAAACTTGAGTTTTATAGTTTTCTTTGTGTTCTCCTATTTGTCGTCTTTGGGGTAGTAGAATTTTCCAGATGACCGTCTCGGACAGGTATTGAATCATTCCCTATTACACGTGTTTGTAGTTGATTCAATAAACAAAGCTTCCGTTATCAATCTCTCTCTCCAGCCTGGTGTTAAATTCGATTCTAAAACTATCACCTTATCCCATCCAGCCTATTGTATGGTTGTGTGTAATTGCATGTAGTGAGTGCTATAGCCGAACTATTCTCTAGATTTCTTATCTTATTAGTGGGGTCAACTAATCTAGATTTTGCTAGGTTTTATGCTCGACTAGTCTGATTACCCCTGTTCTACTACTATGACCTATGTATTTGACCTGAAAATCATTGCAGCAGGGTATTAGATAAACTAAATTGTTTTGTTTTAAAGGCTCCACAGGATTGATCCTTTAACCGACAAAGGTTATTTCTAATTGAGTTTGTGGGTGGTTTGAATGCCAACCACTTTTATTCCTGCCTTGTTAAGAATTCTGCGTAAGGTTTCCGAGGTTCCTTTCGTGTATGGAATTACTACTGTTGATTTAGATTCCTTATTGTTGGTGTTGTCTTGCGCATATTTGACATGCATGTCGTCATTAATAATATTATTATTATCACTATTATCATTATTTATGTTATTTTTACATTAACATTACATGGTTATGAACAATACATTGTGTTCGAAACTGTGTAATCCAGTAAATAATACTGTTTCATCACTGTGTGATACATCTAATAAACAAACTAATATGGAATTATTTACTACCACAATGCCCAAGTTTCACACATATATTAATATCACTTTAACCATATTTTTTTCACTTCACTTTTCTCTTTTCACAGTCCGATGATTGTCTTAACTTACGTAATAAAAGCATGTCGATTCATCAACGTAATCAAACGCTGAAACGTGTCAATCCCAATGAAGGTGTAGTCCGTAAACGTCGAACTAGTATACCTGTTTCACCAAAAATTGCTTTAAATTTATGGGGTATCATTAAAAATGCTATTGGTAAAGATTTGACAAAAATTCCTATTCCGGTAAGTTGAAGTTATCTAGTCTATAATGTGATACTTTCAGTTTTTCGTCTATTGAAATAATTTCTTAATTGTCTTGTTTGTTTTCAGGTTGTCTGCTTTATTTACAGTATCTCATCACTCTTGAATAACTTTTTAAAGAAGTTATTATGGCTGAGGTTCGGTTGAATTCCTATCGTCGCCTTAAAATGCTGTCGTATAGTCATGGGTTGTTAGATTTATCTGGATAAGTTGTATTCCCTGCCTTGATGCAGCATAGGATGTTCTTAGAAAGGTGAAGTTGGTGATTCTCACAGAAGTGGTGGGCATGGATCTGCTTCCTGGCGAAAGACTTATCAACCTCGAGTATGCGAATTATATCGTCTTACTGTACGATCTCATGCAAGCTGCCCAAATCGCACTTCGTCAGTTGATGATCAGTGTCTGTAAATATGGTATGTACTTTGCGCCGTCTAAGTAGAAATTACTGCTGCAAGATTAGCAGGAGCCTGTACTTGGATTCTCCCTTGCGAGTGAACCACCTGAAGTTGTCGACAATTTGGTATATCTAGATACCTGTGTCACTGCCAGACGAGATCTCTAACTGTATAATGAAAGCTAGCATATCTTTAGACACAGTAGAGATCACCATTCATTAAGTGTCATTATCTGAAAACACCGGCTTCCGTGACTTGATATAAGTATAAAACTTGGGCACTGTGGTAGAGTGTAACTCCATTATGGATAAGATTTTATTTTGATAAATCACAGTGTTACACAGTAATATTAACTGATGACGTTTCGAGCACAATTTATTGCTCATAATCATATCAAGGTGATATGAGCAATAAATTGTGCTCGAAACGTCATCAGTAAATATTACTGTATAACACTGTGAGACTTTATCAAAACTAAATTTACCCATAATGGAATTACACTCTACCACAGTGCACACGTTTCATTCTTATATCAAGTCACGGAAGCCGGTGTTTTCAGATAATGACACTTAATGAATGGTGATCTCTACTGTGTCTAAAGATATGCTAGCTTTCACTATACAGTTAGAGATCTCGTGGAATTCCGTGACTTGGGCTTGTGCCACAAATGTCATCCGAAAGGCCTCCGTTCCGATCTCTGTTCGCTAGCCTTAGAGCTGTATGGGAGGTGATCAGCCTATGATGCGGCGTCGTGGGGTGAAGGTTATCTATTGCATTCAACGTCGGACCTTTCGAACGGAATCCGAACCCACCTTTTACACATAGCCGAAGAAACTATGGGAATTAATTCTAGAGAACAATCATAGTCTTTGCGTACAAAAGAAGTTTGTTCCACATTGATCTCTCCCTTGGCCTATGTAAAGTCTAATCAAAAATCACCACCCACCTCCCTCCTTATTTTACATTTCCTTCCTTCTTCCTACTTTCATGATATTTATTTAAACTCTGATTATCTCTGTCCACTTCACCTCTACCATTACGTAACTTTTAGGATTTCACCTAACTGTTTACTTATTGAATTGTCTACATATACACACACATATTACTACCCTCGTTATTCTCCTAATCGCCATGTGTGCATAAATCTTATTATCATTATTTTGTTAGCGTGATAATCATCGTTATTAGTGACGTTCGAAACATTCAACACAGTACTATTATTATTGTTACTTGATCTACAAACCCACCATCATTGGTTCAATATTTTTTAGATATAAATGTCTATGTAAATTAGAGTAAAGCCTGAAGAAGATCTATGTGAAAACAACAATATTGTTTGCTTGTATGTCTTGTTCTAATATTAATAATGGGAATATTTAAATATTTAACAAGTAATAAATACGGATGTCCATCTACAGGACTTTGAAATTCCTTATTCTAAATATATATGTTTCACACGGACGTTAGAATTCGAAATGAACGCATGGTATACGAATTGAGTTTGGAATTTGTTAACTATGGGAACGCAGCTCTAGAGCGCCACTCACCTGTCTTGTGGATTGGATTTCATATCAGAGGTTCGGGGTTTAGTGGAGCCTTAACATAGTGACCTTTATCAATCCGGACGTTCAGATGGTATCTCATACCTCGTGCAATATGTGGCTCGTGTATCGATGTCCATATTAAATGAAATTTGTGTTTAAACTATTAAATAAACTTCTAATTAGCCTAAAAGACGTAAATAAGTAAAGGGATTTATTTTCGTTTCCTTAAACATAAATTAAATATTAAGAATATAGATAAAGTTCATGGTATATGACTTTAGATGCGTTTTTCGAAAGATTCAAATTGTTTGTTTACACCAATCTGCGTAAAGAAGTGCTTCAGTGTAAAAGTCAAAGTACCAGTCACTGACGTTTCTCCTGTGCTATTCATATGAAGATCTGTGTTCATTTTTGGTCATAACTAACAATATTTCTCAGCAACCGCTTGCATTTCCATGTAGTTGACCAAATCTCTTGTATTTAGGCTTTTAATGCCACCTGGCTGCTTAAACAACCCCTCTAGGTGATGTGGTGTTTGAACGGTTTGTTGTACCATTCTTTACAAACCTTGCAAATGATAACAAAGCATATGGTGATGTTCGGTAATCTAAGTCAGCTTTGGTGTTGATTTGGAACATTTCGAATCCTCACCGTTTCTATGTGGCAACTTGTATTCTCTTGCAGCATTACCTGTTTGTGCATTAACGATATTTAAATGCTTGTGTGTTTATTGCTCTTGGATTTGTATGGTCGTTAGATTCGGTGTTAACATTATATAATATGCTCTGAAATCACCTTTCATTCAGTAAATGATGTCATCTTAAATCACCTACTCTGGTACTTTGAGTATACCTCTTCTCCATTTTGTTGGTTGCTAGTTCCATTATGGGTAAAATTTATTTTGATAAATTCTCACAGTGTTGTTATACAGTAATATTCACTGATGACCATGTTACTACTACTGCTCATAATCACATCGAGGCACTACTCACACAACTTTTTGACTTCATTTATATACATGAGTAAAAAAGTTGATTACATAACTGAATAACTGAACAAGCTCTGTAGGTTAAAGGACCTGGTTGACCCAATTAGAAAGAGTAAAATAATTTACAAAATACGATGCAATGACTGTGAGTGAGGTCAACTATATATAGGTCAAACCAGTAGATGGGGGTTAGTCAGATTATCAGAACCTAAGAATTTAGCTGAGTGTAGAATGAGTGACCCCGCCAAGATAAGTAATTTAGAAAAAAACTCAGCTATAGCACTGCATGCATTAACACACAATAGGGTGGGTTGAACAGAGTCAAAATTCTAATAGGTAATATAAGCAGGTGGAGAGAGATAGAGGTTGATTACTGAATCCTGGTTCATCGAGTCTACACCCAACACGTGCAATAGGAATGATTCATCACTCATACCGGAAATATGGAAAATACTACTACCAATCAAATCAAGCGATGGAAAATAATGGAATTATATAAATGAAGTTAGAGAGTTGTGTGAGTGACTTTGTATGATTATGAGCAATAGTTTGTGCTCGAAACGTTATCAGTTAATATTACTGTATAACAACACTGTAAGACAATCAAAATAAATTTTACCCATAATGGAATTATACTCTACCACAGTGCATAAGTTTTTATTCTTATATCATTGCTTGTTGGTTTCTGAAATGATGTTCAACTTATTGTATGCTGCTGTACTATGATGGTCAATTCTATCTGGTCTGTATGTATTGGCATATCACTAATGTCTCTTTTTAGATTACACTGAAATAATTGTTTAACTTTGTGATTGGAAGTTGTTGTCTCTGTGTGAATCGCTTGTATTTCTTTTGTGTACTGGCTGATTATTTGATCGCTAAGACCTAATTAGACTGTTGCTAATTAACCTCATCGATTGCAGTGATTGATAATGTGTCCCAGGTGTGTACAAGCCGCCTCTGAGTTCATACTGGGATGCAGAACAACCACTCATCAATGTGTGTATATACTGCGTCTTTTTTGGTACAGTTAATAAATTATCATTCCTATACAAAGCATGTATTATTATTATTATTTCAATTCCTTCACGTTCCCAGTGGAACATAGGACTTCAGGCTACAGGCTTGAAGTTTCTGTAGCAGTGTTTATTCCCACAGGATGAAGTTGCTAGCCTCATCCCCAACCTTTCCTCCTTACCAGCTTTATTTCTGGCTTAGCGAGGTAAAAGAGTGCGTTGGTGGCCGGGGATCGAAACCCGAACCATATGCATGGTCGGTGAGCGTCCCAAGCACTCTGCTACCGACGCACTGTACAAAACCTGACCTGGATAATTCAAGTATCAACTGCGTAACAGTCAACAAATCATAAACCTTCAGGTAATTCAAATATTTTTTCGAGGGGAGGGGGGTACCTGAAATAGAAGGAGCATTAGTGTGGCGTGACTGCAGAGCTCGGAGGATAACTGCTTGTAGCCGGTTCAACATGGCCTGTTTCAGGTGGTTTTTGTACTTGTTTCTGTACGAAGATTTTACCACCGGCTACGGATCGCGGCATAATGATTTGAGGTGTACAACTGTTGTGATCTACCTTTTCTGACTCCCCATCTCCAGAACGGAAAGACAGCACATTGTTGTTCATCTATGGGAAACATCTTACTGCCGTTACATCCCTATTCTCCAGCATCACAACTTTGCCTTCTAACCTCCAACATAGTGTAAAGGAAATCAATTCCATCCAGTATCGCTCGTTGGGTCATTGCAACTACCAGTTGGGCGCGGCTGGGGGTGTGGTGTAATTTAGGAGGTCATTGAATAGCCAATAAACTCTTACTAATACATAAACACGTGATATCTGACCTATACCTCAAATCTAATAGCTGGTTAAACATTGATTTTAGTATTTAGCTTAGTCGATTGATCATATGTTGTACTACCCAAATAATGGATCCGTGGATTATGGTTTTGAGTCAACAAGAACTGTACATGTAACCTAATTTTATCACTAATACTTCTAATTATTATTTTTAGGATATCGATTTCATTATTTATCTTCAA